ATTACTCTTCACCATGGTCAACAAAGTAAGTAATCTACATATATGGTCTCTGAATTAGTATCACCTGAGAGGTGTAATGAGTTTGCATACTTTTTAAACACAAATCCATAGTATCAGACAAGCCATTAATATCTATGTATCCACCAAAGTGCCCGAATTCTCTCCTTCACCACGTATAGATATCATGGCTAAAATGTCTCAGTTTGGTGCTATCAATAATATAATTTTCATTGATTTAATTGACACATAACCTACCAAAGAAGACATACTTCCTAAAGTAAACATATCACTCATTGAGGAAATCATCATCAAGCAATGCACTGGCTTTCTGTCCTAAATTTACTAATGACATTCATTTAAATACAGATATCTGGAAGACCTGTTCTACTTCTGCTCAATATCAATGCCACCTATGATACCATTGACCATAAAAGTCTTATAGATAGACTTGAGAACTGGGTTGGTCTCAGGAACTGTCCTAAAATGCAGTTCATACCTGCAAGGAAGGAACTACTCTGTCAAAATAGAAAACAATGCAAAGTTTCAGTCACCTGTGGTGTCCCCCAGGGTTCAATTCTTGGGCCAATCTTATTTAATGTATACATGCTTCCTCTTGGCCAAATAATACTACGAGATTTGTTACCACAGCTATGTAGATGATACTCAGATCTACCTGGCCCTCTCCCCAAACAATTATGTTCCCATTGAATCACTGTAAGAACATTGAGCACACTACTAACTGGATGGGTCAAAACTTTGTGAAGTTGAGTAAAGATAAAGCAGATGATTTTATTTGGGGATAGCAATAAGAAGTAGAGCAGTTTTAGCAGTCATGTCAAAGCAGTTTCTAAATCAGCTTTTTTATCACCTTAAGAACCTCAACAAGTTCAGAGATTTTCTGACTAATCCAGACCTAGAGAAACTCATCCATGCCTTTATTTCCAGCAGCATTGATTTTTGTAATGATCTTTTACCTTGACTCCCAAAACGATAATCAAACATCTTCAGTTGATCATAAATGCACAAGAAAAAAACGAAGGGAACACCCATTCGCAAATCCTTACACTGGCTACCTGTCTGTTACAGGATGGTCTTCTATAAATCAGTTAATGGTGTAGGACCAGCATATTTCTTTGATATGCTGCAGCAATTTGAGCCGAGCAGCACTCTAAGATCATTAGGAACTGGTCCGATAGTTCTGCCGAAGGTGAACACTAGACATGGAGAAGCAGCGTTTAGCTACTATGCTGCTCTTAAATGGATCCAGTTAACAGAGCACAGTAGAAGAGCCCAGCTCAGTTGAAAACATTGTTAGATATACTGCATTTATTTCCTGTAAAGGTACATTATTATGCTGATTTTTTTTTATTTGCTTTTAAATTCTTCTCTCCCAAGCTTTAATCAAAGGTGTGGGACACTGAGCAGCATTTTGGACAATTTGCTTGCTCAAAATAAATTGCTTACTCAAAAAAGACAGCTGCAAACTTGTAATATGAAAGTATTTTGCAAATATCTTATAAAGTACAATCTTGGAAATTTCGGTTGTTCAAGCACCATTCTAAACCTCCTACTGTGTACCTTTTTAACAAGCAATAAACAGAGCTTGACAAATATCAGTGTTACAGACAATTACTGGCAGTACTCAAAGAGGGTACATTCATTCCCATCTGGATTAAAGAAAGGAATTAAACAATGAAAGTTAGTACACAAAGACACTTTACACCATTATCTGTAAAACAGTCCATTTCAAATCAAACTCAGATGGTAACCGTTATTTGTAATACAGTGAACATCATTGAACCAGCTTATCTAAAGAAATCTGAAAAAAAACAGATCTTGTGACTAGTGGTGCTTGAAGGTTTGTGAACCCTTTAAAACTTTCTGCATTTCTGAACTTTATCACATTTTAACACAAGACAAAAATATTAGACATGTGCATTTAATTATTGAGGAAAATAATCCAATTTTACACCTCTATGAGTGGCAAAATATATGAACCTGTAAGATTAGCAAAGAATTTGAAAGTGAAATTAGAGTCAGGTGTTTTCAATCAATGGGGTGGCAACTGGAAGTGAGTGACCACCCTGTTTTATTTAAAGAATAGAGATCTATCACAGGCTGTTCTTCACAACACATGTTTGTGGAAGTGTATCATGACAGGAACAAGGGAGATTTCTGAGGACCTCAGAAGAAGAGTTGTTGATGCTCATCAGGCTGGAAAAGATTACAAAACCATCTCTAAAGAGTTTGAACTCCACCATCCACAGTCAGACAGATTGTGTTCGAATGGAGGAAATTGAAGACCAAAGGCATGCAGTAGTCTGCGAGGTCACAAAGGAACCCAGGGTTACTTCTAAGAAATTAAAGCCTGTCTCACAGTGGCTAATGTTCATGAGTCCACCATCAGGAGAACACTGAAAAACAATGATGTGCATGGCAGGGTTGCATGGAAAAAGCCAGTGCTCTCCAAAAGGAACATTACTCCCCATCTGCAGTTTGATAAAGATCACATGAAAAAGCCAGAAGGCTACTGAAACAATTTTTCGTGGATGGATGAGACCAGAATATATCTTTTTGGTTTGAATGAGAAGGGCTATGTTTGGAGAAAGGAAAACACTGCATTCCAGCATAAAAACCTTATCCCATCTGTAAAACATGGTGGTGGTAGAATCATGGTTTGGGCCTGTTTTGTTGCATCTGGGCCAGGACGGCTTGCCATCATTGATGGAACAATGAACTCTGAATTATACAAGCAAATTCTAAAGGAAAATCACAGGACATCTGTCTGTGAGCTGAAACTCAACAGAATGTGGATCATGCAGCAAGACAACGACCCTAAGCGCACAAGTCATTCTACCAAAGAATGGTTAAAGAAGAATAAAGCTAATGTTTTGGAATGGCCAAGTCAAAGTCCTGACCTTAATCCTATAGAAATGTTGTGGAAGGACCGGAAGCAGCAGTTCATGCGAGGAAACCCACCAATGTTACAGAGTCAAAGCTGTTTTGTATGGACGGGCTAAAACTCCTCCAAGCTGATGTGCAGCACCGATCAACCGTTACTGGAAACATTTAGTTGCAGTTAATGCTGCACAAGGAAGTCACACCAGATACTGAAAGCAACGGTTCACATACTTTTGCCATCACAGATATGAAATATTGGATCATTTTCCTCAATAAATAAATGACCAAGTCTAATATTTTTGTCTCATTTGTTTAATTTGGTTCTCTTTATCTACTTTATCTACTACAGGTTCTCTTTTTCTATTCAGAAAGAAAAAAAACAGGGGTTTACAAACTTCCAAGCACCACTGTATGTGTTTAAGAAAAGACAGCAGAAAACGTTTTAATATTAATATTAACATTAATATTAATATTATAATAACATGTAATATTTTATATTAATGTTTAATATTAAATGTTAGTATTAATATTAAAACACTTCCAGCAACAAGTGCTTTGATAAGACATAGTTTTCACATAATTATCATTAAATAGCTATTTTTTATCTTAGGAATGAATGGTGGGCAGAAGTTTGTGCACCCCACTTATATCTTGATATGATACAAGTACACTAGCAATACCCTACTAACCATGTGGGATACCATGACAACCATATTGATACAAGTACACTAGCAATGACCTATTAACCATGTGGGATACCATGACAACCATATACAACACCTGAACAACCACCTGGGACATAGGGCTAGTAAGCAGGCCTCAGAATTGTGGTTAGATGCTTCAGGTGCCTCAGAGAGAGTTGGGACAAATCTGATTGACACTGCAGGTAAGCTCAAATTGTCAGTAAAAGCACTGTAACTGACAAGAATAGAATAGCTATAGGTGACCAAGAAATATACTAGGATTCATTACACTTTAGTAGACATATGGTTAATAATAATTTATTGCTTACAGCAAAATAATATTTGAAAAACAGTTACATTGATCCTTACATATACTTCAAAAAGCTAAAATAAGAGTTTAAAATGTCGATAACACTTCAAGATGTCTTACATAAATAAAGTGCTGGTGTAATGATCAATAATTAGATGCCAAACAAGTTAACTTGCTTCACAAATCAGGAATATGATATTCGCCCTTTTTGGCTACCAAATAACTAACAAAGATTTTTTTTTTTTTTTTCTGTTTAGGACACAAATTGACTAACATTTATTTACCACTTCTTAATTAATCAGGGACAACAAAAATACACTTTAGATCAAGAAACACACCTTGAAGGATCAGTAACTCAGTAAATCAGTAAACTCTCATGAGCTTTAAGCAATAAACATGACAATCTAGAACCTACAAGAATCAAAAGTTGCCAGTTATACACTTACATGATGTAAATGTAGATGAGATTGCATGTTCAGTAATTTTCATAACAAGGTCTTAAAGTGTTTATTGTGCATATTATTGCAATTATTTCTATACTGAATATAGCATAATACACAGTGAACAAACTGTTCAGATGTGTCCAGTTTGAGTTTACTGGACAAAGAACAACACCTGAATAAACTACCAAATGTGTGTTCCTTGAATTAAGGTGATACTCTAAAAATGACTAAAATCTACTCTTTTTAAAGCAGGTAATTAGCAGAGGAATCTTATTTAACACGGAGCACAAATTAGATTATCTAACAGCTTTTTCTGAAATCTGCTTCATTCTACTCTTATATATTTGCTATATTGAGATAACCAAGTTGGCCAGCTATTTTTTTTTTTAATAAAAAAACAGCAGAACATTTGTGACAATCATGATATTTATCAGAAAATTGGTCATCATTTCTCACTGCCCACCAGCTCATATATAATTCAGTGTATTCAAATGCATAATTGTCAGCTAGTTTTCTTCTCCTGACATTGTGTTATTATCAGCAGTTCAAAAAGATCTGGTGGTGCTGTGTGAACATATATATATATGTTCACACTGCACTTGGTCAAACCTCTTTAGTAAGTAGGTAGTAGGTAGGAACTGAATGACTTTAGGCTTTACTTACTTAAATTTGCAGCACTGTTGTCTGTGATTGTAGTTAGTAGGACCACAGTGACCCCTGTTGGAAAGATAAAAAAATGGTGTATGCTCACACATGCAGCGGTTTACTGGATATTCACAGTAAAACCTTAAAGGCTTAAAATTGAAAAAAGATAATTATATTATGATGGCGTGGAGAAAGGGGTTTGTGATGTCATGTAATGAGGGTCAGTTGTAACACCTGGGAGAGAGAAACTGATGGTTCTACAAAGGAGCAGATCCAGTATGGCTGGGTTGGCTGGAGCTGGGGACAGGACTGAGTTTACTGGGGCTTGCTGATCATTTGTGGACCGGCTGTGGCATGAGATGGCATGGATGCACTCTGAGGGACTTTGAATTTTCGATTTTGATTGGACAGTCAATAGACCTTATTTTAGATGCTGGTGTGGTGACAAAACAAAGGACTTTGCATGAGATGACGGACTCCAGGATTTTATGGGGGGGTCTTGCTGGCCTCCTGACAATAGGAGTCTGGTTCTTTTAACTTACAAGCTTTGTGTAGCCTATGTGCATTTGACGTATGGGAGTGGGTGAACAGAAGAGTAGGGAAAGTTCCTGGTGGGCCAGTAGCGTTTCCTGGCCTCATATTGTGAGCTAATGAATAAATTAATGTAAAACACTCATTCAAACTATAAATCATTCATTCAAGTGTATATTTGTAGTAATGTTGGGGTTAAGTGGTCCCCTGCTCAAGTGGTTTAGCCCCGGTTTGCTGACTGTAACTCATACAATGGAGAGAGATTAAGTAAAGCTGAAGTTGGCTTTTTATTCTCATTTCTCATTCCACCTTAAATGATGAAGCACTTATTCAGATGGCTATTCCGGTGCTAGCATGTAATTTCTGTGATATTTTAGGTGGAGTGGAAATTCTGATTAAAAATGCCTGAAGAGGTTATCGAATGAAAGAATCAGCTGCTATGCTGAGTTGATTTGAAAGAGGAAAAATAGACCCAAGATACAGAGTAGACCGTCTGTATACAGAATAAATATTGTGAGAAATACCAGATATATTACAGCTTTTAGTGATTAAGCATTTCTGTACAGGCATATGTAACAGAGTGCAGAATAAGATAAAGTACATTTTTCCAGAACAGTAATTCATTCTGAATTACTTGGTATGTTTAGAGTAAATTCTCTGTAATATTGTGGTAACAATTTATAATGAACTTTAACTTTAATTTCATATATAGTAATTACACATTAACTACACATTTTCTTATTGTCATCATATGCACCAATGAACCAGATTATTTACCAGGTACATGCTGGAAGTTCTCAGTATTATGATGAAAACAGGACCATAAAATAAAGTGTAACTTTGTACAGTAAATACACACCAACTATTGGTCTTTATCTCTTATTCAAAGCATAACCATGCATAACATTCACAAAGTCATATATATATATATATATATATATATATATATATAATATATATATATATATATATATATATATACACTGTTATATTGTAGTGTGTGATATGGATGAATGAAGCAAAAACAACAGGTAAAAATGGAACTGTATTGCACTAAAGAATTTCCTCGTTGTGGGACTAATAAAGGGTTATTTTATCTTAAAGCAGTGAACCACAATACAGAACAGCATCCCAACCTACCTAGAAGATAACAGTAGCTAATTTACTTACACAAAGTAAACAACAAACCGAAACAGAAACCTCCCTCTGTCTCCGACTACCAAACATACATACATACATACATACATACACACATACAGGTGCACCTACAGCCACAGACACATCCACAGAGAAAGACTTGCCACATATATAGAATATCTACAAACCAGTGAAAAGTCCAAAACTACAGGAGCAAACAGAACAGCAGAGGAACAAATGGAGTCTAGCTGCAGAAGCCCGACAGGCCAGTGACACATCTTAAATAGACCCGCACACAGCCATGCCTCCCGTGCATCCATGGCCCATAGCAGGTTGCTACATAGCTCTCTCTTTCAGAGGAGCCATCCCAGCAACCTCACAAAGTCTGAACAAAGTTCAAGAAAGGTCCCTGGACAAAGTCTGAGCAAAGCCTGAGCAGATTTCCTTGGGGCACATGGTCTCTGAGCAGGGTTTAGAGATTATCTTCTGTCCTAGTAAACACTCACACTGTGGGCACATGAGCACTGCGGCCTACTCCCCAGCACAACAGATCTCCTTGCCCATTTTGAATTTGATGCCAAAAACACATTTCAAAAAAGCTGGGATGGGAGCAACAAAAGACAGGTAAAGTTGTGTAATGCTATATATAAAAAATTAATAAATAAACTGAAAACAGGTTAGTAATATGTTTTGGTATAAAATGAACAATCCAGAGAGGCTGAGTCTTTCAGAAGTAAAGACTGGGGGCGAGTCTACTTAAAATAGCGAAGAACTTGGGAAATTCATAATTTATGGTATAACCCCATTTCCAAAAAAGTTGGGACACTGCGCAGAATGTAAATAAAAATAGAATACAATGATATGCAAAATCATGTAAATCATATTTTTAAAGGAAAAAAAAATACTGTTTTTTGGCCTTGTCCCTTGCATACAGAGATTTCTCCAGATTCTCTGAATCTTTTAATGTTATTATGTACCATAAATGAGGAAAAACAAAAGTTCTTTGCTATTTTATGTGGAGAAATGTTATTCTTGAATTGTTGCACTATTTGCCCATGCAGTCTTTCACAGAGCGGTAAACCCCTCCTCATCTTTACTTCTGAAAGACTCCGCCTCTCTGAGATGCTTTTTTTATACCCAATCATGTTACTGACCTGTTGCCAATCAACCACCAGAATTTTTTTTTTTTAGCATTACACAACTTTACCAGCCTTTTGTTGCCCCTGTCCCAACTTTTTTGGAATGTGTTCTTGGCATCAAATTCAAAATGGGCAAATATTTTCAGAAAACAGTAAAATTTCTCAGTTTCAACATTTGAAATGTTGTCTTTGTACTATTTTCTATCAAATTTAGAGTTTACATGATTTGCATATCATTGCATTTTGTTTTTATTTTGCACAGCATCCCAACTTTTTTGGAAATGGGGTTGGAATACAATATAATATCATAAAACCATTCAGAGAAACCAGAGAAATCTCTGCATGCAAAGGACAAGGCTGAAAACCAATACTGGCTGGCCGAGATCTTCGGGTCTTGAGGCGGTACTACATTAAAAATGATTTTGCAGCAGTCACTGCATGGGCTCAGGTCCAAAAACCATTTCTGTAAACACAGTTCATCACTTTATCCACAAATGCAAGTTAAAGATCTACCATGCAAAGAAGAAGCCACATATAAACGTCCTCTGGGCTAAAGAGGAGATGGACTAGCCAGCTTGTTATCAGTGAACCGTTCAAAAGCCAGCACCTGCGATGTTAGGGGGGGTGCATTAGTATGACAAAGGAGATCCCGAACTGTTCAGCAGCTAGAATCATACATCAAGCAAGAATTTTACTTTGAAAACTACAGCAATGTCTCCTCAGTTCCCAAACTTTTAGACAGTTGTTCAAAGAAGAGGTGATACAACACTGTGCTAAACATGCCTTCCCAACTTTTTTGAAATGTGTTGCTAGCATCAAATTCAAAATGGGAATTGTTTTTCAAACAAAAATAAAATTTCTCAGTTTCAACATTTGATTTGTTGTCTCTGTACTATTTTCAATCACATGTGGGGTTTAAATGATTTGCACATAATTGCACTCTGATTTTATTACATTTTGCAACATTTTCCCAACTTTCTTGAAAACAATGTTGTGGAAATGCACAAAATGATGAAGGATTTACAAACTTTCATGTAACACTGTAAATAAAAGGAAAAAAAGCTAAAAATTCACTGGTCTGAACAAGAGTTCACAATATGCAAATAAGGCAGAAAAGCTTCTTTGTTACAAGTTATTCTGGTATAACGTGGCCAGAATCACTGGAGCATATTCATCATCGCTTTAAAACTAATAAACACTACGTTGTGCATTTTATCTTGAAAAGTGTTGTTCTCATGATAAACATATATCTGCCTCAACACATTGTTACTATTACTACCCTTTAACACATCACAATGGTGACTGCGACTACTTTAAGAAGACAACACATTCTTATTGACTAAAAATTCATAGCCATAGCTAAAGAACACAGTGTATGCCATGCTGTAATTTACACACCAGATTCATTTCGACGCCATTCCTGACATTTCTAATGATGATGTGTTACAGTTTCATTTTGTGATAAACACAAAAACTAACCAAAGAGCATCATTAATCTATAATCACACAGTCTTAACCATTTTAGCACCTGGTGTTGATTTCTCCATTGCAACTCTTAGAAATGACAGTTAGAGAAACAATAACTAACATAAACAATAACAAGACAATACACCAGCCTTCTTTCCACAGATAACATTACAGCACACCACCTCTACTAATAAATATGGCTTAAAGAAGGAAACAGGAGATTAATAAATTCTTATTATTATAAACCTGTGAGCAAGTATCAGTTAATTTTTAATGCAAAATATCACTAAATAAAACTTTACACCTACATTTATAAGCGGAGTCCTCAACAAATATCTAAAACAAAAGTGTTATGGTGCTAATTTTCTACTTTGTTTTAAATTGAATGAGTAAACAAATAAATAAATACTCACACGTTAAAAAAACTATGGTATTTTTCATTTTAATAATCTTCTGTTGAGATGTTCTTGCCTGCAGACCAACCCGTAAGAAATGTACCTTCTAGTTTGCAGCCAATGTGAAATTTACATATCTTTCCATAAACAAATGACGTGGTTTTAAATATGTGTTCATTTCTTGTTGGTGTAGCGTGCTGTGTTCTGTTTTCTCCTAGGCTTTTGCATGTAATTGGTGGAGGACAAATGTGACGTCCCTGACTTTTATGGAAATTATTTCCATAAAGCTTTTAATACATTTATTTCCATATTTCCACCTAAGCTTCACTAGTCTCAAACTGGATGAAACACTGTCACACTAACAACAAAATAATTTTACTATAGTAAGCAGACAATACACTGTGGCAATTAAATGTAGTGAGCCGCAAGTTTGGAACCACTTTCATTTCCATTTTAAAACTTAATTTAACTCTTTATTGAGTTTTTCTTATTATGATTTAGTCATGTGCATTTAATTTTAGGTAATTTTGACATATAACGTATCTATAACTAGTCAATAGTGGTTGATGTAGTGTAGTTGGTAACACTTCTATCTTCTACACTGTAGAGTGGGGTTCAATCCTCAGCCTGGGCAAGCACCCTACAAAATACCACTAAGAGTCCTTGGGCAAGACTCCTAACTCTACCTTCACCTACCTGTGTAAAATGATCAAATCTGGATAAGAGCATATACCAAATGCCGTAAATGTAAATTAACATGTTCCTGTAACCATGGGTAAGGAAAAAAAATAACCTTTTATGTTGTGGTTATTAAACATTAGTTATTATTCAGTTACTGATTAAGTACTTAGTAATTTAATATGCTGTTAATTCATAGCTGCACTGACTGCTGATTTTTACACTGAAAAACTGATTTGTTACTCCTATACAGAAGTAACAAGAAATATCACTTGTTAATACCGTTCATAATCTGTTAACTAACCTTCTGATTGTTCATTACATTTTTCTCCACTGTGCAGTGTTGTGTTGAAGACATTGCTTGAGCTTTAGTAGACACTTTCCGTCACCTTCACACATTCAGCTACTTCACTGTCCTCACAGCTGTCTTTACATTGTCGCCATTAATTATTCCTTACTATATATTACTGAACCATTTAGTGCTACTTTATGCATCCCTCCAAGTAAAGTGATGATCCTCACTACTACTATGCTAATTATACTACAAACTCATGATTAACAGCAGCCTGTACAACTTAACTGTGAATCACAGTAGAAACTTAAGTGGACTTTACACCGATCAGGCATAACATTATGACCACATTATGTTTCTATGCTCATTGTCCATCAGCTCCACTTACTATATAGGTGCACTTTATAGTTCTACAATTATGGACTGTAGTCCATCTGTTTCTCTGCATACTTTGTTAGCCCCCTTTTACCCTGTTCTTCACTCCACCACATCACTGTTACTAAAGTGCTGAGAATGATCCACCACCCAAATAGTACCTCCATGGGGGTCCTGACCACTGAAGAACAGGGTAAAACGGGGGCTAACAAAGTATGCAGAGAAACAGATGGACTACAGTCTGTAACTGTAGAACTACAAAGTGCACCTATATAGTAAGTGGAGCTGATAAAATGGACAATGAGTGTAAAAACAAGGAGGTGGTCATAATGTTATGCCAGATCACTGTATATGTACATTTACAGAACTAAATATGCACTTATTGACTGTATCTGTCAATATCTTAAATTTGAAGGGAAGAGTTAAATTTAGAGTGATACCATGGAAACCCACTCTTGGATAAACCTATCAGTGGATGAGATGCATATGTGTACAGATTAATTTTAGTTCTTTTTCATGATTCCTGTTTGGTTTATTGTGTAGAATCATTTAGAATAAATGTGACCGATGATGTACATATATTTTCCTCTTTACTTGAGGGGACACAAAAAACAAGCAGAGATAAATTAAGCTGTCAGTAACTACATACATACATCATCTAAACCGCTTATCCTTCTGGGTCGCGGTGGGGTGCTGGAGCCTATTCCAGCTGTCATTGGGCGGAAGGCAGGATACACCCTGGACAGGTCGCCAGTCCATCACAGGGCAGACAGACAGACATACACAGTCACACACTCACACCTAGGGGCAATTTAGCATATCCAATTAGCTTAACTGCATGTTTTTGGACTGTGGGAGGAAACCCACACAGACACGGGGAGAACATGCAAACTCCACACAGAAATGACCCTGGTCACCCGGCCGGGAATCGAACCCAGGCCATTCTTGCTGTGAGGCGACAGCGCTACCCACTGCACCACTGTGCCGCCCTTGCTCCTAGTTGCTGTCAGTAACTAATCGTCTAAATAGTCAAATAATATTATTATACTGTAAGGGACATAAAGTAGTAATTAATAACATAAATGGATTGATTTATTAACAGATAATTAACAGGACTAACTCAGAACTACTAGATAATTCTCATGATACTAACACTTATCAGTTTATTAACACTGTAATAAGCAGGATTTAATACAGATTTAATGAGTAAAAAAAGACTGAACTAATAAACTAAACTCAGTTAACAGCATACTCAAATATCTATTACTAAGTACTTACTCAGTAACTAATGCATAATGAGCAGTTAATTAATATAGAAATATTGAGTATTTAATTATTAGCATATAATCATTGATTACTTTGTAAATCTACTTGACAAAGAAAAAAATACTCATAACTGATAAACACATCATAAAAAGTAACCTACACTATAACTTTGATCGAGAACTCCTGATGTATAATATGAACATTATGTCATGGTATTTTTTGATATAATGGATTTGCCTTGTGTGTGTCTGTCAGTGGTGTTTTAACCCATGCCTGCTGTGATGACTAAGTACTAGATTTCTCTTAAACTACTTAGTCTACTTAAGCTACTTTGTGCTTGTATTTTTATGTTACACATGGTAAACTCAGTGTTCCCTCAAATACACTCTAAACAGAAATGGTTGTATATGGTACAAAAAAGTGATTCAACCTCTAAACATTGTGGAACCCTTTTTGTTGCTACATAGGGCCAGTTAAGAGGTTCTCTGTAATGCAACTTTTTCAAAAGGGTTCTACATAGTCCAACAAAGTTATTTTACTTGTATCCATATTAGAACCTTTTTGGTGCTACATAGAACCATTTTAAAAGATTATCTGTATCATTTTAAAAGGGTTGTATAGTAATACAAAAGTTAGTTCCTTATTAACCATGGTAGAAACCTTTTTGGTGCTACATCAAAACATTTGTAAAGGGTTCTTTAAAAACCCAAATATAACAATTTCTCTATTTAACTTTGGAAAAATAATTTAAACACTCAATTGGTTCTTTAAGTTGCCATGGCTGTGGATAGAACCTTTAGTTGGCTTTCTAAAGGGTACCCGCCAGTTGTTTTTCACTATTTTGAGTGTACAAGTTCATCTGTGTCTGTAGCTATTTAACCTGAGAGGAACTGAACATTAACAGGTTTAATACAGACCATCAACATCCTCAACAAGCTGTTACAGACACACTGACACTATTCTGTACCTGGAGCTTCACTGGAATAGGGTTTGGTTGAGGTAAGGGTTAGGATTAGGTTTTGGGTTGAGGTTAAGGTTAGGGTTAGGGTTAAGGCCAAGGCAGGTTAGGATTAGGTTTTGAGTTGAGGTTAAGATTAGGATTAGGGCCAGAGTGAGGATTAGGATTAGGTTTTGGGTTGAGGTTAAGACTAGGGTTTGGATCAGGGCCAAATTGAGGGTTAGGATTAGGTTTTGCATTGAGGTTAAGGTCAGCATTAGAGCCAGAGTGAGGATTAGGATTAGGTTTTTGGTTAAAGTTAAATTTAAGGTTAGGATTAGGGCCAGGATGAGAGTTAGGATTAGGTTTTGGGTTGGGGTTAAGGCTACAATTAGGGCCAGGGTGAGGATTAGTTTTTGGGTTAAAGTTAGGTTTAAGGTTAGGATTAGGGCCAGGATGAGAGTTTGGATTAGGTTTTGGGTTGAGGTGTTTCCTCCCACATAAACATTATTATCAAAAACCATCAGTCTTGTTTAAAAAAAAAGCTTCAATAATTTATAAGATAACATAAGCAAATCCCTGAAAAATGTACAATTTAAAATTAAATTTTAATGTAATTTGTAGTGTAAAAGGTCATATTTAAATGGAAATAAATGGAAATAAATCTTTTATTGTAATTTCCAGTATGAATTGTAAAAGGAAACTCAAAAGTTTAGCAGTTTAAAATAACAAACAAACAAAAAATGGGTAGAAGAATATGTTATACAGGTATAAAATACATGTTAACTAGCCCAATATCTGATTTTACTGAATATTATAAAAAATGTTTATATTATGCCAATTATAACTCTTTTATTATCTTCATTCCATTCCCTTTGTACAATCATTATAACCTGTGGTTACTTTGTGTATGCAATACAAAAGACTGCACTTAATTATGTTAAACAAACAACTGTTCAACTACACGTATTCATAATTTAAACTTTGTGTATATTAAAATCAACCAGAACTGCAGGCACACAGACTCAGCCAAAAATAAATAAATGAATATAAATAAATAAAAATAAATAAATAAATAAAACAAAATAATAATAAAATAAAAAGAATAATAAAAGAGAAACAACAGCTAAAACATAACAAAAATCATAACAAAAATCATATTAAGTGCTTTACAGATAAAAAGAAGCTGATGTGTCTCCTGATACAAAGACAGAGATGACCAGCCAGCCTAATTTTCTCTCACATGACTTGACAAAATGTGTTCAGCCACTTCCTGTACTGTTGCCTGACCTGGAAGTACATGAAATAAGAGAGTCAGGTAGTTTAAAACTCTAGAAAAGAAAACACAGAAACTCAACAACATAAATATTAGCTGTAATTTTTTTCTTCTATGATTTGATTTTATTAAAAACTGGAAATACAAGAAGGGCATGCAGATCATTGCACATGCCTAAGTGCTCACTGAGCTCAATAGGGGGATATGTTTGAATGGAAATTAGGGTGAATGGTGATGACCAATACATTTACAATGCAAAATACATTATATTAAGTGTCTGTAATAACTGTGTAGTTACACATGAATAACATATATAACAACACTGTAACTACTAATGATTTACAGATGGTCACTGTTACAGATGGTTTACAGAAATACAGCATGTGTAATTACACATGTGTATCAACATCAGTTTTGTCTCATGTAGTTACACAAGTGTATCTTCAACACAGGGACTTCCCTGTAGTGTAGGGTAACGTTACACTTTAAAATAAGTGGACAATTCCTGTGTAGTTGGTATGTAGGTATTGTGTAATAATGAAGTGGTAATATAGACATTGCTTTGGGGAAAATGCAACACATTTAATTAATGTTATAAAAGTTACATTTTAAGATAAAGGGAGATCTGCTCCACCGTCACATATACATACAGAATGGTTTAAAGCTGAAACTGGTTACAGTGTCACAGCACTAGCAACATGCTAGCTAAATGTTAGGAAAGCTGGCAGACACAGTGTTGGTAATGTCTTATTGTAAGTTATTACATACTTCCTTTTACTGCTGGAAAAAAGAAAAATAAAACTTCTAAAAAATGCTATTTCAGTCTGATTACAAATGTAATTATATTTGTTATTACCCTTGTGTAATTACATGATAGAGAATAGGCTGTTACAACCATGTAAAGATACATTTATGTAATTACATAAGGTGTACTTCTGTAATCCATCTGTAACAGTGACTAAATCATTAGTAGTTACATTGTTATTGTATATGTTTGTTCACATGCAACTATACATTTATTAAATGCTTAAAATAAGGTGGGACCAAATACATTGCTAGTGATTTGTTACAATGAAAAATTTAACTAAAAATGACAACTCAATGTACTGTGTTCAACTGAGCACACAATGTTGTCTCTTAATCTGTTTCCTTAATGCTGAATTGAACTATATCCTCTTGTACTTAAGAGGTAGTCTCACATGATCTTTTACCAAGAATACATGTTCGGGGACAACTTTGAGAACTTTTGGGCCAAATGTTGGTGGAAAGGCAGAATTATTAGGGGGAGAACAAACAAACTGAAATTTCTAAACTAATCCAACACTTTGGAGTGAGGTAGACAAAAAGGTGTGCAGAAACAACTATAAGGTTGAGAGTGCAGAAGTGTTCACACCACTGTAAAATAGTATGAGTTTATTCATAGCCAGGCCAGGCTTGGTAGACTAAACCTTTACCACATCTTGTTGGCAAACAAGCCAAGTCATTACTTTTCTTCTGAGGTAATGTACTCAGATTTTGGCTCCATTAAATCAATTTTATACATCTGACAAAACTAAATTAAAGGGCATTTCTGATACATCAATTTTGAAGAATGAAATGAAAATGAAAATGTTGTCCCCAGACAAGTATTCTCAGTAGATCATGTTTGGCCATTAAAGACTCAGTGTAATCTCTGTACTGTAAACTGGTCTAATTAACCTGTTAATCTATCCATTTAACTGATTAAATAGGAATGAGACTTCGAGATGTGACAGAAAGAAAGAGGCATGAATGAAGAATGGTAAAGGAAGACTAACAAAACTCTATAGGTATTTTCTAATTTACCTCATCATCAGAACACAAAAAACAAACCCATCGTTTTTTGCAATACACTAGAATCTTTTCTAAAAATATGGGTAATCTTGGCTTAAAGAATCAGAATTAACATTTGAATTTTTTTTTAAAGATATCAAGTTTCTTAAATGTCTTAATCATTATTATTTTCTGTCTTTTTGACATTTGTAAGTGCTTTGTGACCATAAAGGCAAGAAAACCTAGCTAGCCACCATAATACAATGAGTAAAGCTAAATCTTTATCGTATCGATATCCTAAATCTAAATCGTTTTTCAGTTTTTGACATAATTTGAAAATACCTGTTACTCTTTACATTGTGGGTAAATTTCATAATGAATGGACTAAAAAAATGACCCAAAATGACTTGGAAATAATTCTGGTTCCATCGACTTACATTAAAAGTAAAGAGTGTTTTTTTCCTTCTCCTGTAAAGTTACCATTTTGGAGATATGAGGCTTTCTTCCAACAACAGCGATATATCAGTTGCATGGGCAGTAGCAAAGATTAATGTTGTGCTCCACAAAAAAGAAAAAAAAAAAAAAAAAAACTGAATATAAATGGAGTATGAATGGAATATAAAAGGTACTGCCTGCACACTGCTGAAAAATCAGACAAGTCTTGCAAAAATATATATTTGTATCTTTAGAGTACAAAACAATAGACACAAACTGATAAAATGTTTCAGCTTCTTGCCATCATCAGTGCCCAGGAAGCAATTCTCTCAACCTACTTTTTTTTTGATAACTAATTGCCCTCATCTGTGTAGGTTCTGTTTGTTAAAGTGACAGTACAACAGCAAAAAGACACTCAATTGCAAACACAGAAATGAATTGCATGAAAAACCATTTCAAAATCAGATACATCAAACAAAGAAAGCCTCTTTTATAGAAAACAATTGGGATTAAGGGCATTTTCACAATTTCCTGAATACTTGAGTCTGCACCCAGAACCAATTGGGTTTGTTTGATGTGTGTGTGTGGGGGGGGGTGGTCACACAGAATAATTCCATCTGAACCATGGATCTATTGCACAATTCCATATGTCACTTTTGTGCATACAGGTTTGCAAAATACCCCCAGACCACTGATTTTGGGAGGACCAGAGATTGCTTATCTGAACCTCTCCTGGTCTCAGAAACACCTTTCACAGTCAACCCTACATACTGAACTCACAGAGCAAACAGTCCCCCAAAAAAAGAAAAAAGCTCTAGTGTGAAAATGTCCTGAGATCCTTTTTCGTCCCTTTATGAAATATTTAATAAACATTAAATAAACTAAATATAAAATTTTGCTGGACATGTCTGACATCGGGTCTGCATAAATTAAATGTTACATCAACTTAAAGTAAGATATCCAAGTACTTACACATAATAATTATATTGTGTTAACAAAGTCATGTGGAGCCAATATACATATTTTAAGTAAATTTTTAAGTAAATATTAAGCAACATTTAAGGAACGCTTAAGCAGTATATACTGATTTTTTTTTTATTAACCGTCTGGTGTCTGTGGGCATTTTCTTGATTTTTGCATATATCCTCAAATTTGCCTTCAAAGGCACTTGCATACAACATTATACCCATATATTATATATCAGAATGTTCAGAACAATCTCAGCTCTCTCACTATAATCAGGCACTTTGTCCTGAAGTGCTGTGAGAGAAGAGAGAAATTCAGCCCCAAAACTGAAAAAGTGAAATCCTGTTTTAGAAATTCTTAATATGTCTTGTGAAAAACATAGCTTTACTCATGTGGACTGTAACAAGGTGCAGCCAGAGGTGGAAATGAACCCAGGCCTCCAGGTATGGAAGGCTAAAGTGTTGCTGGTTGAACCACCAGCTGTGAATAGAGAGGGACCTCAATGGCAGAGCACAAGCACAGGTGGCAGTAAAAATCTAAATCAATAGTGTAACTAAAAGTTTAGAAATGCTGGCCAGGTGCCAAGGAGAAGCCTTAACTAAACTACCCCGAAAAGGAGAAACAAAGAAACACCCCACGCTGGGATTAAACCAAGGCTTAGAGGGTCACTGACCAGTGTGCAGCCAACTCAACTTCACCACCACTCAAAAACTAAACTGAAAGTGGGGCTAACCAAAGGCTCAAGAAAGGGAAGAAAGAAAAAATAAGTTAAATCTTTTTTCTTTATTTTCATTCCCTTTATCTTTTTTTATTCAATAATTTCTTCTTCTTTTAAATACTCACACTGTTGTCACAAGAGACATGAGAGTAAGGCTTAGAGGGACCAGGAGCAAACTCTGGAAGACTTGAGAGCAATTACCCAAATACTGGCTTGATCAAGAGGCAGATGCACATGGTATGCAAACTCAGGACTGAGCACGGAACAAACAAAGAGCCACTCTTAAGTAGAGCTGAATACAGGTGTGACCGGTTATCTCTAATTACCTAGAGGTGGCTCTGTGCTCCCAGCTAGTGGTGGCATTGAGTCTGACCACAGGATGGGTGACCCGGCTCCTGCCAGTGGCAGACTAAGACTGACCTATCACAGTGGACAAATTGTTTTGGTACTTTATCAAAGCCTTAAGTTCACATAAGTAGTGGAATGTATGAATACAATAGTCGAATAATGTAATTCTCATTGCTACATTCCAAAAGTGCTGCTGCAACTTCAGCGGCTGCAAACCTTTTACACACCATTTCTTGTCTGTCTTCAAGGCGACTGAATGAAAAATGAAGTGTTTCTTCATTTTGCTGGTGACAGAAAACTTATGAAATTAGGAAAATGCCTCCAAGCGAAAAGGGCATGTTTAGGATAGGATGCTGATTGAATTAGAGACAAGCAATGGCTGACCTCTTGGTCAAGGACACAGTGGACCAGGAAGATGAAGGTGCCCTGCTGGGAGTTGAGGAACAGGAAGACAATCTCCAGCACCTTACTGCCGTTTACGAAGAAACCCAGAATCCAGGGACAACCGAGGATGACAATCTGGACCAGTGTTTTAAAGACAAGAATTCTAGAGATACAGAGAGAGAGAGAGAGAGAGAGAGAGAGAGAGAGAGAGAGAGAGAGAGAGAGAGAGAGAGGGAGGGGCAGATTCTGCTTGTTTATTCTATTTTATGTGTTAGTGGTTAAATTGTGGTTGAAGTAGCATGGTGAATAACACCCCTGCCCTCCACATGACGCACTGAGCTTCCGAATGCAACAATAAGATGTGTGCTGTTTGTTACCTCATTTGCTTGATTTGGGAAATGTCACTGTTCAGAGCTGTCATGGTTGTTCTGAGTGTTATGATGATGAAGAAGAAGAAGATCAAGTTGAACTGCAAATGTAGGAAATGATTAGCAGATTATTCAGATAATTAAAACATTATAATTCCTACTGGATAAGCCAATGTGATGTATGTAATGCTCTCTCGGAATACTCCAAATGTTACTACAAGAATGTAATGTAGAAGAGAAATCTTAGCACTTACTGTAAGAATAAAACACACGGGACCCAGAAAACTCCACACAAAGTACCTGTCGGTCTTAATCCAACAACTGCACAAACGAAAACACAGACTACATCTCAGATTGTCATCTGAAGAATACATCAAAGGATTTGCTGGCTGATCATGCTTTAAATAGAATTTCTAGTGAAGGAGTTGCTAAATGAATATATACATATTTTAAGAAACTAACTAAACAGCTTTGGATGTAACCACACCCACTCTACATCCTTACCGTTCACTGCCGTATCCATCAGGAAACAGTCCGACAGACACGCCCACCACAACCAGTGGAATAACATATCCAATCACAATCAGATATTTCCAGCTAAGCACCTCCTTCTGCTTTGATCTGATCTTTGTGAGGTTCTTCACAGAGATCAAGAGAAGAACAGCTTCAAAGAACATCCACACAAAAGCGGAGAGAAAGAGAAAGTGCAGAACACCTGCCATCGCTGCACACAGCATCTGGAGAAAGAAAGAGAGAATATCAAATACAAAACACTGATAATTTATTAGATTTTAACCTTAACGCTCTTATAGCTAAAGAATGTTATTACTTTATTATTACCATTATATTTATCCACAGCTGATGAGGTAAAATAGAAGTAAATAATTCTCACCTGATTAGTCTGTATGTACTGCAGGAACGTCTGTGTGAGAAGGAAGAGGAGGTGAGCCAGAAACAGGCTGATGCACAGGTTTATCAGAGGAGCGGCGTTAACTCTCAGGTGTTGACGACAAAGGGCAAATGTCAACAGGGACAAGCTCAGGAACAACAGTCCCACTGCCACAGCCACCGTGTTGAGCAGCTCCAAGAGAGGGTCACTCTGGAAATCAACAGCCAAGCACTTTATTATCTGATCTCTTGTTCTGAATCTAATGATACTTAAACATTTTGATTAATTTACTATAGAACTAAAAATACATGAAGAATGAAGAAATATATATGAGGAAAAAAATACAGTTTACTAATAGTGCTTGGAGTGAAATGTTGCACTTATGTAGCTCAAGTGTGGCAGGTTAAAAAAAAATAGAGTGTGAAAGTTGCTGTTTCTTGGATCTCATAAAATACAGCATATGAAAAAATATCTTTGCTAAGCATCACCAACAGTATCAAGCCACTTCTAGTTCGGTCTCACTTAAGTTACTGATTACATAAAGCATTTACGTGTTTCAGGGGTAAACATTGTGATTATTATCCTTCCATTGTTTAGCTGGCCTTAAAGTTATACAGATGCTGTTTATAAGCTTCACTAAATCAATCCACAGTATTGGAATGGGGGATGGTTTAACTGCACTGTGATTGCTTGCCTTCTGTCTGTTGGCTGGTAATAGTGTATAACACTGTGCAAATGCTTTTGGAGGCTGGGTTTCAGTAAACTACGCTGCAGTTCCCGTGCAGTGTAGTGATCGTAATCTTGTTTTGGTTTTGTTTATGCCACAATAGCATACTGGAATATGTAGGAAGATGACTGCACTGCTGACAGCAGTAGGCTATAACCTCAAATCATGTCATAGTGAGAAAAATGTATAATTTAGGCAGCACTGACTTCAGAACTTTTTATATTGAATATATACAGAAAATATATTGCTTATTAATATGCTATTGTTTTTAGCAATAAAATATAAGTCAACAAAGTAACCTTCCTTCGAAACAATAACAAATAATTAATGAACAATTTGTGTAGTGTTTCCTTATTTTTTGATATGTTGTATTCTGCAATAATGTGGGCTATTTTGATTGATTAAAATTGTTGATTTACTTTTTTGTTGACTTATTTAAAAGTATTCTGCATGAAAGTCTTTTGCCAATAAAAATCCCCATTCTTCTTTTTTATATTGTGAATTGTCTATTTGAGTTATGAGATCATGTATGTATTGGTTGGTTAACTTCTGCTTTCTCATGATGTTTTAACTAGGCAAATTCATTTGTTTAAAGTTTGTTATGCCTCAAAATTTTGCATCAGCATTGCAGACACGTGATGTTATGTGTCTGTGGTGTCCTGAAAGTGTCTGTGTATTCTCTGTGTTTTGTTGCAGTCTTCCTTCTCCGATTGCCCGATAAAGGCAGGTTGGCCTTGCCATTGGAGAGTTGCCTTGTCACCTGACATAAGGCAGCGTTCCAGGTTTTTAGCATCACAAACGCCTCTGCAGTCATTCACAGCTTCTGATCAGCCTGAAGTTGCATCATCTATGCACTTGGTTATGTAGCCAGTCATGCGTGCCGTGTATTCCTCCAAATCAGCTGAATAAATATAGCACTGTTGTCGAAAGAAAACATCTCCAAAATGGTAACTTTACAGTAGAAGGAAAAAACCTACTTTACTTTTAATGTAAGTCAATGGAACCAGATTTTTTTCTAAGTAATTTTGGGCCATTTCCTTTGGTCCATTCATCATGAAATTTGCATGTAATGTAAAGGGCAACAGGTATTTCCAATTATATCAAAAACTAAAAAATGACAAAAAATGGAGATACAATGTTTTCTTCCGACAACAACAATATGTAGCAGCTTGCTTGAACATGTTCCAGTCTGTGTGTTCAAAACAGTTGTAAAATGCTGAGACGGCTTCCTCAGGCCAGGTTTTGCCTGTTTTAGAACCAGTTTAGCATGTTTGAGTAGAGGTTTGTATGCTAAAATGAATGTAAATTTGATGTGGTCCATGCAGCTGAGGTGGAAGCAGGCTTCAGCCACAGATATTGGTATAAACAAGGTCCAGTGTGTTTACTCCACGAATCACAAAATGAACATGCTTGTAGAATTTAGGCAGTACTGACTTCAGATTTGCATGATTAAAATCACCATTGACAATCGAACATTTGTTATGCTGAGGAGCTTGTAAGTGACCGACAGTTGATTAGCACTTCATTCAGCTCCCAGTTGCAAAGTGTCTGAATTTCTGCAAACAAGCAATGCATTCCCTACATTCTCCCCATGGGCGATGTTAGTGTCACAATCAGAGCAATCAGAAGAGGCTGATTGTATAAAGAGGCTTGGTTGTACAAAATAATTTGAATACTTTTAGACCATTGAAGTAAGTAAGTTAACATTTAAAATAAAAGTTAGAATAAAAAAGATCACTAGGACACCTCATTTCAGCTGGGATAGATGTAACTGGCAGGATTTTAGAGTCTTATAACTATCAGGGCTTTAGGATCTTAGGGTAAATGATAACTTGGTATCACGTTCCTTTAAAAGTTTGAAATGCAGTTTGTAGGTTTGTAGGTGAGTCAATTAGGAACGCACCTGGACACGATTAGATTCAGGGGCACAACACTGTTGTGCACAATAAAAATATTTTACATTTATATAAGTTGTAAAAGATATTAAAAAATACTAATCATATAATAGTAAATACTAAATATATACATAAACAAAAATATGTTTTTAAGCATCTAATAAATATAATCCAACAAGTAAATACCGTCCAGCTAAGTGTTTTTTATTTGTGATGCAGAACAAAGATTTTACCAAAATAAAACTAATTAAAAAAATAAGTTGTATAAATATCAGGACTTATAGGCATGTTAGATTGGATAAAATTAGTATCGGTACTCTGTACCAGTTGATACTAAAGGATTAGGTATGAGGATTGGTATCGGAAGGGAAAAAAGTGATATCGGTGCATCTGCCAAGGTCTTATATCTGATTGTTATTAAGTTGTAAAATATCAAAATCATGCAATCTTTCTTCCAAAAAAATATCTAAATCATGCAATGTTTTCTAAAATTTTCAGTTGATCTTACATAATCTGAGGGTGGGTTGGTTTGCATGATGAGAGCGAAGGTTGACAGGTGAACACAGGAGCACACAGAGTGGCTGCTGTTGGTCTGGAGAAGATAACAGCCATCAACAATCCATTCCATTTTATTCCAGTACACACAGGAAATTGTACCATTAGGGTCCATTTCCTAGGAAAAAAGAGAAGGGAAATGATTGTCCTTTGCTGTTTAAATCAAGACATTTGCTTCTTTGCTTTCTGCTACTTTACTTGCAACTGAACCACTATAAGTGTGAGTAGCAACATTATTTAAAGGAAATGGAGCACCTGTGATATAAACATCACCAAAAACATGGTGAAATCTACACAGAGTGCCCTCCACAAATGTTGAGAATACTGGTAATCAGGAGCAAAATGAGCTGTAAAATTCTTAATTTCTTATCCTTTTTATCTTTCATTCAAAATATTAGCAAGAATCAAACATTTACTTAATGTATAAAGACTGAAAGAAAAAAACTAAATCTTGTCACGAAATAAGTATTTTTCCTAAACATTTGTGTGCTACCATTGTTGGCACCCCTAGAAATTCTTAGGAGTGAAATCTAACTGAAGTACAGTCCCATTCCTATTTTATGTCTTAAATTCACCTGAGCAATTAGGAACACTTAAATAGTCAGCCATGACTTCCTGTTTTAATAGGGAATATATATGAGATGGAATACAAGACAAATTTCCTTAGATATCCATCACTATTAGAAAGACTAGATAATACAGCAATGATGTGTGACAAAAGGTTGTTGAGCTGCACAAATCGGGAAATGGCTACAAGAAAGTAACTAAACAGTTGAAAATGTCCATTTCCATTATCAGGGAAATAATTAAGAATAACTGGAGATACAAAGAATCTGCTAGAAACAGAATGTATCTCTATACAAACCCCAAGCTCAGTGAGAAGGATGTTTTGAGTGGACAAAGAATCTCCAAGAATCACAGTTGGGGAATTGACCAAATTAGGTCATAGGGTCTGAATGTCTCCCAAACCACAAACACCACCTATATTATCACAAGTTGTTTGGTGGGGTTGCCAGAAGAAAGCCACTGCTGTCAATTACCAAAAAACTTAAGCTCCTACAGTTTGCCAAATGTTACTGGAACTTTTAGTGGGACAGTATTCTGTGGTCAAATGAGACCAAAATAGAGGTTTTTTGGTAACAAACAGCAGAGATGAGTTTGGTATGGACACAAAGATAGCCAGGCAGAAAAGTATCCCATCCCCACTGTGAAGTATGGTGGCGGATCTGTGATACTGTGAGAACACTGTTTAGAAACACTGATATACTGTAAAATCCATGTTTGTTTTCATTCAGCACATCCTGGTTGTTTGGGAACTGCATGATTTTGAAATTGTGGCAAATAGTGTGCAGTGCATCAAAGGCTGATATTTCTGCTACGATGGGCACAGAAGCTACAGCACCCACAGAAGTGCACCAAAGAATGAAGTCGAAAGAGTTTCCATGTGCACTTTTAACAAAAAGCCACCTTTTGATGCCAAAACAGGGTGGTCACCTGGGCAAAACGTCAGTAGTTAAAACCCTACAATATAAAATAAACCTAATTATTAGATTAAGCATATCAGTAAAACTCACTTGATTATGTTTCAGAGTGAAGTTGACCGCTTTGGTGAGCTGTGTGTTGGTGGTTTTGGGCAGTGTGGCTGATACTACTATGGACATCATGGTTTTCACTGTGTTAGCAGTTGAGTTGAAAAGACTGGGTTTCAACATGCTTGCCATGTTGCTGAAGCTCAGGAAGGCCACAGCAGCTGATCCTGAAGCACATCAACAAAACCATATCACTATAAAGAGAAGTGCAAACTCACAAATAATAAATTAAATACACATATAACGTATTTCATGATTTTAGTCCCTATTTTTGTGAGCCTCAGTCCCCATTTTTTTTTCCATCTCAGGCCCCCTGACAATATGATTCTTCCTGATTTTTTTGTGTGTGATTATTTCCCTCCACTTTTATGACAGAGCTGCTGTGAACAACCAGCTAATTTTCCTTCCAGTTCTCTCCTTCATTCTACAATGTCTTAGTACTGAACTGCATGCAAAGACCGCTACTATACCGTTGTTATTCTTTGAAATCTGGATAAGGTCGATATCCATCTGAGTGTCGTTCATGCTGATCTGAGGGATTTTTTTCAGTGAGGCTTTTGGTCCAACTGCAAAGACTTGAATATCTGAGAAATATAAAGTATGAGTCATAAACCATCTACTAATGCCATGATGTATCAGTGTTTTAGATTAAATCAAATTAAGAGGATTCTGAAAATGTCTGTTGAAAAGAGAGATTTTTTTAATCCCAGTACATAGTTTTGCTTCTAGATCTTACTAAAGGATACAAAAGTGGAATAAAGGAGTATAATTTTTAACTATTCACTTAACTTTAATTAACTGTACTTAATAATTAGAGTACTTTTTACTTATGTAGTCATTTACCTAAGCCCTTTAGAGAGATGTTAACAGAGTCAGTGGTCTCTGCTGGCTTCACCAGTGTAGACACCAGTTTCTCAGTCCTATTCAGCACTGTGTTGCCATAAGATGCCAGTTTTTCTGAACGTGTTTCAACCTTCAGAAGTTGCTCCTGGGTATTCAGCACCATGTCTAAATACTTCACTACAACCTGATCAGTAATCAGAGAGAAATATAGAGATATTAATATAATGCACACTGAACTCATTGGCTATTACTCTATTTTTTGTACTGCTATTTTCTACTTAATTACAGAACTGACTTCTTGCGGGAGCACTTGAGCAGTGATCTTCTCAAGCTGGTTAAACAGATCCTCTCCACATTTTGGCGTGAACTTGTCCTAAAGCAAGAAGTCCATTGTGTTATGCATGATCGTGAACTATCTTCATCATTGTATAAAGCTCAGAAATCATAATTATGAGGTATTATGTCTAGTGAAATAGCCACAAACCTTGCATTCTGCGGATACTGTGATATCGGGGTCTGAAAGTGATGTATCAATAAAATAATGTACATTAAGGGTTTTTTTTATATTTTCATATAAAATGAAAAGCATAGCAACTTTGTTTTAAATTATATCAGTGATATTTGTGATTATTGCCAATGCATTAATGATTCCAGAAAGATATGTCATAATTATTGGTGTTCAAACTTGTCAGAGTTCATGATGTTGTATATCCCAACAAAACACTAATGTATTTGTGTTTTTACCACTATTATAGTGGAAAGTGTTGATTTTTAATGATTATCCCTCGTAAGGCCAATGCAGCTATTGCTTTATGGTTTGAGAATCCATACTAGGTATCATGTTCCAATAGAACTACCGGTAACACTTTATTTGGATGGTCCACTGTAGATTCTTTGTAAATGTTCAGTATATCTTTACGTAACATTCAACTAAATATCCATTAAATTCAACTGAACTTCAAGTTCAGTGTGAAAGCATTTATTAAATCTAACCCTAAACCTAACCCTCACCTTAACCTCAAGGTAAAACCTACATCTACTCCTAACCCTAACCCTAACTATAATGTTGTTGATAATCAACTGAACATCACCAGTAAGTTTGTTAATAATTTAAGTCTCTGTAGAGCATCTATATGGGACCATCCAAATAAAGTGTGACTGAACTATAGAGTGTTTTAAATAGTTTAAAATGTGTTCATTAGCAGTTATTAGTAGTAATAAGGTCATAAATATACAAAAAACTAGTTTACTCTTAAAACACATGAATTAGACAGTGACCTTTTTGTCTATGGTGAATCCATATTTATATATACATTGTTAAACCTCAGATTTATTTTTTATGATTTTTTTAAGGTATTTATGACCTAATTACTGACCACTAATGAACTAATTTTAAGCAATTCATAAACCATTCATGAGGGCAGTCTTATTCTAAACACATTTTTGATATCATTTTTCCTAAAAGGGTACCCATCACTGATAATAAAGTAATGTAATATTACATGCACCTGTTTTTTTCAGCAGCAGGAGTTGCAGTAGTTGTATTTAAGACATGATAAGTTAATGTCACTACAGGCTCAACACAACAGACAAATAGACAATTTATAAAAAAGTGATGGTGGTGAACTTAGCAATATTGTGCGACTCTGAACCTCTGCCAACTTCAGTTATTTAAAAGCTAAATGTTGAGATTTCCTCTGGACACCTACTTGGAGTGGTGGTCAGTTCAGTGCTAATGGCCAGAGTTGTGGTAGAGGCTGGCATGATGGTGCTCACATCTGAAAAGAGAGCGTATATCAAACTTTAAACATAAATTACTATAAAAAAATATGAATTCAAGTATTTTGAATCTCTTCTCATTAATCACACAGATAATGATAAATCATTTGTTGTGTTAATTGACCAGTGACACATCCAAGAGCAAACAGAGTCAACAAAAGAAGAGCTTTATGTTAATTAACAGCTAATAATTAAATCCCTGGTATTTTTAATGACTGATAACTGAAGCTGTAGTTGTGAACTTGTAACAAATGGCAGCAAATGATGTATTTATTACCCCTACAGCCTTAAGTTAAGAAGACAAGACAAATCAGACCAACGTTGAATTAGAAGCAGGTTGTATAGTAAGGCCTTTAAATAAGATTCAACCTGCATAATCATAAATCAATATTAGGTATGTTGCCTCAACTCAGTGTTGATGTATTTGGTATACTACTCAAGAGTACTCAAGATTTCCTCTGCCAACTGTTGAGTTGGCATTCAGTTTAGTGCAAAAAAGATACAAAGAATAAAAACAAAAAGTGACACCTTGCTAGTACAAATGCTAGTAAAAAAATAATGAAAATTCACAGTGTAAAGCCTTTAACATGTTTAGAGTACCTGCACAGTAAGCTGACTTGCATGAGACTGCCTTGGCAAACTTATAGACATAATAGTTTCCTGGACATGCTTTGACTTGAATTGGCGTAGATCTGTAGTAACAACAGTAACTTCCTGAATCCCCACAGACTCCACGAGTGACTATTCCATCCTCTATCTGAGGGTGAGATCCATTCAGCCACAGAGTGATATCAGTACCACATCTGAATCGATTAACACAGCTCTCTGGCATACGGACACTCGTCCCATTATACAGCAGCCGATACCAGCCAGTGCCATTGAAATAGTCGTCACATTTGGACCCTCCGGTCTCATTAGTGGCTCTCCAGGGTTGATCCAGAGAGGTGTAGTCATTACAGGGATCATAACTGGGAGTATCAATAGCAACTGTCATGAAAACAGATGTATATAAAAATAATTAATAACAAACAAATAATGGACACTGATGAACTTCACTTTTAAAAAGCAATAATAATGTAACATTATTACCCTTGTTTAATTAGATTTAGTGCAGTGCATTATGTTACACATTGAACAGAAACTGGACACATTTTTGATATCATTTAAAAGTGGCACTTCTGGTTCTTTATTGTCTGATCTAAATTGTCAACTCTAAACTAAATATCATTATGCAAATTGTATCTCATGAAATACATCTTGATGTACAGTGAGATTATACATGCATAAATCAAAACATTACTAATATGTTGGTTCTCCGTATGCCACCAAAACAATTTCAATCCGCCAAGGCACTGACTGTACAAGGCCTCTGAAGGTGCCCTGTAGTGTGCAGCATGAAGATGGTAGTGGTAGATCCTTTAAGTCCTGTAAGATGTAAGAAGCCATGGGCAGACTTACTGATCCAGCACATCCTAAAGACACTCGTTTGAAGTGCAATCTGGGGGATTTTGAGGACAGGGCAACATCTTGATCTCTTCATGTTCCTCAAATTTTTCCCAGGTGCGGTATATAGTGTGGCAGGGCACATTATTGTGCTGAAAGAGGCCACTGCTATTGGAAAATATCATTGACATGGAAGGGTGTACCTGGTCCATAGCGATGTTTAGTCAAGTGGCATGTCTCGCCCAGAGTTTGCCAGCAGAACATCAACCAGAGCATCAGACTCCCTCCACTGACTTGTCTTCTCATGGTGCCTCCAGGTAGCATCACTTCCCCAGGTAAACAGCACAATGTACCCAGCTGTCCATGTAAGAAAATGGGACTCGTTCGACCAGGCGACCTTCTTCCATCACTTCAAGGTCCAGTTTTGATGCTCGCATGCCCATTGTAGACACTTTCTACAGTGAACAGAGGTTAACATGGGGGCTCTGACTGGTCTGTGGCTATGCAGCCTCATAAGCAGCAGGGTGTGATGCACAGTGTGCTGTAAAACATTGCTTCGCATTCTGCCACAGTAGCTCTTCTGTCATTCTGGCCAGATGGGATCTCGTTTGTTGCAAAACAATAAGTCTTAGGAGCTCAAAACCCTGTTGCTGGTTCATGGTTTGTCCGTCTTCAAACCACTGTGGGTAAGTACTCCCCACTGCTGACTGGAAGCACCCCTCAAGAATTGTAGTTTCGGAGATGCTTTTACCCAGTCATCTGGCCACACAGATTTGGTTCTTCATGCCTGCCATTTCTCCTGCATCCAACAGTTCCATTGTGAGGACCAACTGTTTGCTTACCATCTAATGTATCCCAGACCTTGACATGTGCCGTTGATACTAGATAAAACACAACTTGCTTCATCTCTGGGTACTCATAAAGTTTTGGCTCATTGGTGTGTTTTTGCCGTATTGCCTACCTTTTGCATTTAGACAAAACATTGAGGATTTGTCCCATTTCAACAATGTTTAATGTGAACGTACCATAGCGTGTCCCAATAACAGTTGTTGCTCCACTAGGTTAGAGAGTGAGTGCTTCTCCTTGTATTTTGGTTTTTAGTTTAGTTAGTTAAATATTAACTTTAGTTAGTCTAGTTAGTATTTTTAGTAGTTTAGTTACTTTTGTTTTGACTATAGAGCTTGTCTTCTACAGTGCAAGGTTGGCATGGTGTAAGAGTTTAAGGGTCAAACAAAAAGTAAATGGATCACTGCTTGTGATTCGTATTTCGTTTCACTAGTGGACAGAAAGAACTTGTAAATAATTAATTTAGTTACACACTAGAAAAGATATTTTAAACTCATTTAGCCATTTAAACAAGTCTAGTTTAAATAGCTAGCAAGTCCCTAGCAAGACTGAGCTGCTATCCTAGCAAGACTGAACTGCTATTCACCCCTGCAACTACAGGTCCTCATCATGATCTTGCCATCTCATTCGAGAACTCTCTGATTGTCCCGTCTGTAGAGGCAAGAAGTCTTGGTGTGGTTCTGGATGGCCTGTTATCGTTCTCGACTCACATTGCAAACCTAACTCGGTCATGCAGATTTCTCCTGTACAACATCCGGAGGATCTGACCCTTTCTCACACAAGAGGCCACCCAGGTACTAGTGCAGTCTCTTGTCATCTCAAGGTTTGACTACTACAACTCGCTCTTGGCTGGTCTTCCAATGCAGGCCATCAGGTCTCTGCAACTCATCCAGAATGCAGCAGCACGACACGTCTTCAATCTCCCAAAGTTTAGCCACGTCACCCCACTGCTGCGCGCCCTTCACTGGCTTCCTGTAGCTGAATGCATCAGATTTAAAACCCTTATGCTTGCCTACAAAGCCAAAAATGGACCGGCCCCTTCCTACTTGATGGAAATGGTGAAATCTCCAAATGTACCACGAGCCCTTCGAGCTTCGAGTACAGCTTGGCTTGACCCGCCATCCTTCAAGGTGCGCAGAAGGCAAGCATCAAGACTGTTCTCTGTGCTGGCACCCAGGTGGTGGAACGAACTCCCACTGGCTGTCCGTACAGCAGAGTCTCTCGCTGTCTTCAAACGCAGACTGAAGACACATCTGTTTATACAGCACTTAAATGAGCACTGAATTAAGTATTGATTGTAATGTATTGTACAGCACTTCTCTTGCACTGTTCTGTGTTTAACTCTGTTCCTTTTTCTCTAGGTGTCAATGACTTTCTGATTCTAGCAGTATCTGAGCTCAGGACTGGCTTTCTCTCTAACCTTTTTCTCTGGATAGACAAAGCACTTTTTGTAAGTCGCTCTGGATCAGAGCGTCTGCTAAATGATGTAAATGTAAATGTAAATGTAGTTTTCTGTTTAGACTAAGATGTACTTCTGGAAGTTGTTCTAGAAAAGAGCAACCTCCAACTGCTGGATATGTAAAGCAAAACATTTTGTAGCAATCAAAATACATCTTAAGATACTAATCTACAATTCATTATGAATAAACAATATTGGACACTGCATACTGTACCTGCACAGTATGTGGGCATTGGCAGTGACACAGCTGGTTTGACGAGCCTGTAGACGTAGTAATTTCCTGGACAGGCTTTGACTTGGATTGGGATCGATCTGTTGGAATTACACTGTCTGCTGTCAAATGAATAGACATACGTTCCATAGATTTCTCGGGTGACGATGCCGTCCTGTGGTAGAGGATGAGATCCACCAAGCAAAAGTTGTGTGTAACCACCACAGATCAAGTAACTTGAACACCAATCAGATTCAGGAATCTGAGCACTTTTTCCCTGAAGATACAAACGATACCAGCCGTTCCATTCAACAAGAGTGTCATCAAAACTTCTGAGGCTGTTGAACAACACACTGTCTGTTCTTCTCCACAAATGATCAAGGACACTGTAAAAACTGCAGGGATCAAATGTGACATTGTTTGGAGTCTCTGCTGTTGAACAAGAGTGAAGAGAAACGAAAATTTCAATGAGGATCCTTATTACAACATACTCAGAATCACAGAACAATTAAAAATCTGAAAGTCAAAAGATATAATGACCTACTTGCAAACATCATTTATAAAATTTATAAATTTTTTAAAATTATTACAATTATTTTTATTTTGCTTATGTGATTTGAAGTTGTGTTTGTTTTATATTTTCTGACAATAATCAATAAAATTGTTGGTGCATGTAGACTTTCTTTAGTCATAGGAACATCACAGACTAACAAATGGCTAATGAGTAGGATCCATCATTGGCCTGAAACTGAAAGCAATACAGATTTATCCATAAACATTTTTTAGACAAATATTTACAGTGGCATGCAAAATGTGGGCACGCCTGTACAAAATTTCTGGTACTGTGAATAACTAAGCAAGTTAAAGATGACCTGATTTTCCAAAATTCAGAAAGTAAAATATTGCACATTTCTTTAATATTTTGAGTGATAATACTTTATTTCAGTCTTTTTATTTCAATATTCTGACAGCACCTGACAGTTGTACAAGACATCCTCTTTTTATCTTCAGCTTTTTTACAGATGGTATGATGTTTGATTCCAGAATTTGTAGTTGGTTAATTTAATTTGTTTCCCTCTAGCAGTGAAATGTTCCACATGCCACTGGCTGCCAAACAAGTCCAAAGCTCCAAACAGATGGTTGCTCATTGTTCTATTTTAATTTGTTTTCAAAGTGCATCAGATTTAATATGATGATCCTTGGGAAACCTACCTGTTTGTATGCTTGACGCAGCAGTACTGGATACAGTAGTTGAGGCTTTATTTGGAGTGATGGTGTTCACATCTGTAAAGAACATTTTATTATGCAGCAAATTTCTTTTAAAATATGAGTCAAAGAGACATATTTACTAAAGCTTTGTCCTGTCACAAACTTTATTTTGGTGTTAAAAATTGGCTTAAAATATTAACAGATTTTCTAGAAATTTTGATTTATCATGTTGAAGTAAATTGTCTCATGTTGTTGTAAAATGTCTTACTTTCTGAAAATATTGTCATGTTTTCTTGACAGGTACTAATTCATTTTTTTAACTCTGTGATTATTTTGACTGCCTAATCAAAATCTTGAGGAAAGAAGTCATTATTTTGACCTAATGAGTCACAGTTTGAATCTGAAACAGAATGATTAAAAAACTTTTTTCTCTGACCTGATGGATTTGGGCTTTCATACAAAAAGTATGTAAGCCAAACATGTGGTTATACTGCACTGGCCATATGATAATTATGTAGTTTCACCTGTGTTCGTTTGCATGGAATTTCTTAGCAAATAATCTACTATGCTGGCCACCCCGGTCAGCGCTGTGCTGGTAATTAGTGCCTTCCTTAGTAAATCAGCCACAAAGTTTAGAAAATGTTGTAACATATAGAATATATACAAGGAGATTCGCTCAAAAGAGGCCCTGAATATTCTGTAATAACTCTCGCTAGGATGAAGCAATCTGAACGAACCAATGTGCAATGTGCTCCTCAGTATATGGAGCTTCGAACAACCCTGGATGTCCCTGCGTCCAAGCGATGAGGTAGGCGCCGGACAGCCTTCATCCTAACGGGAGTTACAACAGAATATTCGGGGCCTCTTTCAAGTGAATCTCCCTGTACTATGATGTCATAGTAAACTATGCAATATGTAATTCTGTATCTAGACTAGCTATGTTTATTGAAATCAATTGCATAATTCATGTTGATCTATTCAGTAAGCCATTCAGAGGTTAAAAGTCCTGCTAGTAGTGAAGTTTAGCACTGGTGAGTTGCTGTGGCAGACATCAAGAGTCAACCTGATAAAATGCTAGAAAATCACTGGACAAGCAGAGTGTGAACTTAAAAAAATATACTCAAAGTACCTGCACAGTAAGCTGCATCGCAGTATTGTGGTATGACAAACTCATAGACGGTATAGTTTCCTGGACATGCTTTGACTCGAATTTGGATGGAACTGTAGTAACAACAGTTATTTTCTAAACTTCCACAGACTCCACGAGTGACTATTCCATCCTGTATCTGAGGGTGAGAACCATTCAGCCACAGACTGTAATAAGTACCACATCTGTACTGATTAACACAGCTCTCTGGCATACGGATGCTCATCCCATAATACAGCAGCCGATACCAGCCATTCCAGTTGAAGAATCTGTCACAGATCCACAATACAGCAGTTGCATTAGTGGCTCTCCAGGGTTGATCCAGAGCAGTGTAGTTGTTGCAGGGATCATTCAAAGTAGCTGTTGTTGAAAATAATCAAATAGGAATCAATGCTTCTGACACAAACACCACACCTCTTTTCAAATTGTGCAAC